TGCTTTCTGTTATTTCTCTTCTGCTTTTGTGTGATCTGGCCATTTCGGTTTGATTGTGGTGAGATTGTCATATCTTTATATATATGATGGTGTTCCATGGTTCAAATCACGCCAGCTTTTTTCCCCTGCCGTACAGATAACCTTGAATCAGGAACACAAATATATGCTCAGTTTTGCACCCGATTATGATCATTTGCCTCTTGTAGCTAAAGTTGAGGTGTTTGAGTATGCTTTGCAAAATACTGAAGGAAATGACTTAGCAAGGGTATGTAAAATTTTCAAATACTACCTGGTATATGGTCTTCTACTGCATGCACTTATTTCAAGGGTCACAATGTTCCATTTTGTAGGTACTTTGGTTGAAAAGTCGAACATCTGAGGTATGGCTTGAGAGAAGGACAAATTACACCAGGAGCTTGGCTGTCATGAGTATGGTGCGTGCTTAATCATATTCTATACAATAAGTTGAAATTGTAACTCAATATTTATTGCCACATTATATAATTACCATGTTTAGTCTCCATCAAGCTTTAATTTATTGCTTTAAAAGAATTTATGAAATCCTACATTGGGGTTTGAATGAACCTTCATAATGTGGTCTGAAGAGGTGAACATTTGGTTTGCATGCTACAGGACCTAAACCCTCCATGACCCTGGCCTTTGTTTTTTTTTTTTTTTTTGGGGGGTGTGGGGGTTGGGACTGAACTTGTTTCCTTTTAGTAGCATCAAAATGGCTCACTTTCGATCTTTCATATGCTGTACCTCAGCCATTATGGTCCTCATTTATCTCTTCTGCCAAATGACCTTCTATGTAGTTGCTTAGGATAGAATACTTATTTCAATTTTATTGTTAGCGCTTTATGTGGGATCTAATTGGCAGGTTTGTTGCCTTCTGTCCCTTGTATGTATGAATGCATTTGCACTTCTTCCATTTTGAATGCATTAATCAGAGAATATCATACTCTGATTTCTTTGAACTTTAAAAAGATCTCATTGTATATGTATGGGTTTCCTATTATTAAGGTTAATAACTTTAAGAAACCGTATCCCTCCTAGAGCAGTGAAGATTTATATTCATGATGTACGCTAATAGTTGGGTTTTCCAGGTTGGTTACCTCCTTGGCTTAGGTGATCGTCATCCAAGCAACCTCATGTTACACCGGTTTAGGTAACAGACAAAAACTGAAAGATACTGTTGGCTAAATTGACGGAATTAGTTAATTTAAAATTTTGGAGTATCTAATTTTTCTTATGTTCTGCAGTGGGAAAATTTTACACATAGATTTTGGAGACTGCTTTGAAGCATCAATGAACCGTGAGAAGTTCCCTGAGAAGGTGCTCAAGAATCTGTTAATTCCTTATTTTATGGGATTATTCAAATTCTTGGTTTGTTATTGTTTCTCATCTTACAATTTCTGGATCAGGTTCCTTTTCGCTTGACTAGGATGCTTGTGAAAGCTATGGAAGTTAGCGGTATTGAGGGAAACTTCCGCTCAACTTGTGAAAATGTAATGCAAGTTCTGCGATCTAATAAAGATAGTGTTATGGCTATGATGGAGGTACCAAATCTTGTTTCATTCTCCTCTCTCTACTCTGCAACCTGCTCAAAGACGAGGAAGAAAAAGCCTAGAAAGGGAATAGATTCAAAGATTAACACCCAATTCATAAGAAATTATAAGAGCTCTATGCTAAAGAGCTCTATGCTAACTTCTTGATTGTCCATCCATGAAGAATTTGAATGGTAGCTTAGCCACTGTTTAACATCATGTCTAGTTGTCGGGGTTCTTTATAATGGAATGGGGCCAAGATATGCATGTGCTAAGCATGAAAATGCATACTGTATTACAAAGGGTGAAAGAAGACATACTTTAATTTGTTGCTGACATACTTTAATTTGTTGCTATTTCTTTATTCGACTTTTCCAGCCAAAAACTTTTATTCATTATTCAGTACACCTGGGTAATTTATTCATCATATAAAATCATCTCTAGTCGTACGGTCTTAAATCATTAATTGGATGAATAGTTTGATTAATTTTTCTTCCTGCACTCAGGCATTTGTACATGATCCTCTCATCAATTGGCGTCTTTTCAACTTCAATGAAGTTCCACAAATGTCGATGCTTACTAGCAATCATGTACCTCCTGTTGTGAACACTGAAGAACCTGCCACAAATAGAGAGCTTCCTCATCCTCAGCGTGGTGCCCGCGAGAGGGAACTTCTTCAGGTATTTTTAGCTGATCTTTTTTTGTTGGTTTCTTTTCTATGTTTATCATGGTGCTAATTGTTTTTACTTGTACATATAGGCTGTTAACCAGCTTGGTGATGCTAATGAGGTCCTGAATGAGCGAGCAGTAGTTGTTATGGCTCGCATGAGTCATAAGCTTACAGGGCGGGATTTTTCAACTTGTTCTTCGGGATCATCCAGCTCTATTCAACATGCAGTAGATCATAGTGGCTTAATCTCCGGAGACACTCGCGAAGTTGATCATGGCTTGTCAGTGAAATTGCAAGTCCAAAAGTTAATTAACCAAGCAACCTCACATGAAAACTTGTGCCAAAATTATGTCGGGTATTGATCTCAAACTCATCAGGTTCTTGTTTTGTTAACATTTGTCCTCTAATAAACATGATCATGCATTTTGGAGTGACTAGTCTACAAGCTTTAAACCAGTTGCTGTCTCCTTTTTTCCTTAAATCTTCAGATTTCTTGCTTGGCACAAATTTATATTGATACTAACCGATTCAAATGTGACAGGTGGTGCCCTTTCTGGTGAGCCAGAGAAAGAGTATATATTGTACATGTTGTACATAGTGAAATTCTTTGGTTTTCTTTTTTTCTTTTTTGAATACAAGGCCACGGTACAACCCGTGCAAAAAAGAGAGTTTAGGTCATGTCAGCATGGAAGAAGTTGCTACAACCAATCGGCGGGGTATCAAAAAGTTGAACTTTTATATTATTAGTTGAGGCCTGGTGAATCAGCCAATCGACGCAACTATCTGTCTGCCTCTCCGAATGTATAATTTTGTGCAGCATATGATGACGTTACCTACCTTGTACAGTCATCTGTCTTCTGTCGGCGCAAAAGAATGGGAGTAGGATTTGAGCAACTGTTTGAACATGGGATAGGATATAATTAATATTAATTTAGTTATTTAGAAATATTTTATTAGGATTATGTGAATAAGAATATTGAGTGTCCCCTTCAAGCTTTACCCTCCTCTCTCTCGTACCCCTCCCCCTGCACTTCCTGTTTCACCTCAAGCTGCTTCGTCCTGTGGGTGAGATCTTATTTTCCAGTAGGTCTTTTTGTAAATATGTGTAATTCTAGACCTGTGAGATGCACGAGGTTTTAGCTTGAGATTCTCGCAAGGAAATCAGTGTGATTAGTATTGTTGAGAATGAATATAATTTAAATTTTATATGTTCATTTTGAAATATTAACATAGTTGATTTGAAATATTGAAGACATAAATATTACTCATTTTCCTACGAGGTTTCACTAACAAAATTATATCTAGTTGATTCTTTTCTATGCGTTATATGAAAGTGTTGAAAAAATTTATCCCATTAGGTTACATTATTGCAAGAATTATAATTTCATAATTCAAAAATTTTTAATTGGCTGTTGATGTAACACAGGTTCTAGAACACTATCATTTATCGTAATTTGTTAAATTTGTGAATTATTATAATGAAAATCATAATTTTATTAACGTTGATGTCCAGGTTCTAGAACACTGATCATTTATCCGTTTTGTCTAAATTTGAATTCAGGATTATAGCTGCTTCGTTATATTCCTTACCATTTTCTGTGCTAGAAATGTTCATGATTTTATTTTTTGACAACAAAAATGTTCATAATTTATGTCCAAGCTTTAAAGTAAATGACTTGCTCGAACGTCATTGCCTATCTTTAAAGAACATTTGAAATTTCAATTAATGATGGATCATTAGTGTTCGGTTTCATGTCTAATTTATTCTTCTTGGGTCATCAACAGTGAAGAATAATACACGTGCTTTCGGGGATCATGCTCCGAGTATTACAAACAACTGACTTTGCCTTCTTTCTTTCTTTCTTTTTCCGGTCCAAAACTAATTTGCCTTCTGAGCGAACGTAGAAAATGAATTTTGGTGATGCCGGGGAAAAAAAAAAAAAAACAAGTTTACAGGTCTTTCCTTGTTTGTTTTTCTGTCTTTCACATCTAAGTTCATCAAGTTTTACAAAATATACTAGCGACCACCACCATCATCTCAATTACTCTCAAGTATTCATGTTTCCTCCCCTTCCATGGCCTTTGTTTAACACACACACACACAAGCTATTGAATATTCACCTCAAAGGCCAAGAAATGGGGATAAGAATAAATGCATAAAGAAGTCGTCTCTATTCTCACAAATGCAAGGGGATGAGAATAAACGCATAAAACAACACAAAATATTGTAGAGATGATACCGTTATTCTGATTTTCTTTCCATCATCCCAATTCTATCCTCTTCACCAAACATGACATATTATGTTTTCAGTCGTACCAAATATGAAAGGGAGAATGGAGTTGAAGGACTAAGGAAAGTAATTGATGACAGTCAAGGACAACAATTAAGAAAATGATAATGAAGTGCCCTAGTCCTTAGACAACTTTTGAGAAGGAAAGGGTTCTCATCCCACTTAATTAAATAGATAACTTTTGGGGTAGAGTTGGATGCTTCAAAGGTATCGAAGATGATACCAATGAACCGAGTTAATAAAACATATACCATCTGAAGTTATGAATTAAGTAAATTCTCGTCTTTGCAAGATAAATTTATCAAATTTTATGTTCTTTGAATACTATGATATATACATGACATCCAAAATGCCTACTACAACTTACAGGAAGCCCGTACCAGAAATTAGTAAAGTGCGTGCCTAGCAAAGTTGTACATCAACCAAACTGTCACAGAGGCCTAGCATGCAGCCGAATTACAACGAAAGTATGAAACTACCAAGGAACAACAGTGAAAAAAGGAAAGAATTTCATTGTACCACGATCTGCTATAATCTACAACAGTCTCCTCCAAACTCAGTGGGGGAAAGCAAGGCTTTGAGTTCGAATCACTTTGCAATAATACTAGTTACACATGTCAGCCATGTCAAGAGATATAACCACATGATAGTTGTTCAAGAATGTTTATTCCCATACTACAAAATATACAAAATAGTATTGCCAAGCAGAAAAGTCTACTTAAGTCTTAAATCTACACTTGCAACCAGAAATTTATGTCATGCCCATTCCAGCAAGGTCTTTTTAACATAAAGATTGTAGTAATTGTCTCAGCCATTACTAAGGACCTGGTCCCCACACTAGTGATCCATGATGAAAAGACACTTTTTAAGTCAGCAGACTAGTCATTCATGAAGATCACACATTGGATGGAATCTCCGGCGTGGTTGAAATGTATGGAATGGTAAACCAGGCTGTCCAAAAGGAGAACGTACGCCAAATCCTGGAATCCGATCATAGTCTCCACCCACAACTGAAGGTATACCAAATGGATTTGGGTCTCGTCGGATTCGATAGTATGTTGGATTATCATTTCGAACAATGATTGCTCTATCAAGATGACGCTTTGAACGCTGCATTGCTACCCACTCATTAGCAAACGAACACTTATATGAATTAGTTCCTTGTTCTAGTTTCCTTCGTCCAACCAACTCCTCGAACTTCTGCTTCCACAAGTCATTATTTGAGGACAAATATCTCATTTCTGAACACGTGCACGCTACTTTGGCAATATCAACACCATGAAGATACTCCAAAACCTTGAGTTTAAGCTCTGTTGGGAGGCGCATAAAACAAGGCGGAGAACCCAATCCAGCCTCTTCACAGAGATCAATTAAGAGCGGCAATGCAAGCCCATCTTTGACCATCTTCCATAACTGGAAAACGTCATTTTCGCGGTTATAAACCCCCGAATTTGTGTTATCGTTCGAACCAGACTTTCCCAGCATCAACTCTACAGGGGGGGCAAATTTACGTTTATCAAAGCTTACTCTATGCAGCCCAGAGCCCCCAACCGACAAGGACCCATAAACATTAACAAAATGCCCCAAACTCTGAAATTTCAATACCACAGTTCTGGTCGAATCGGAGTCATTAGTTAGGATGTCAGGCAGAGTATATCTTACAGATAACGTCGAAGTCGCCGACGGCCACTGATCCAGAATATTCGAGCAGCTAACCGCCACGCCTGAAACCTTATCTAACAGAACAAAGCCAGATTCCAGAATAATGGCATGAACAGCAACGACCAAGAGCTCTACATCATTAAAATCATTACTCAGCGTTTCCCTGAGCACCCTTTTCACGAAAGAAGGTTCAGAATCGTTCTTCCCCATCACCTCAACAGACCCATCAATGACTTCCATGCCCTCCGAAATCACGGGCTTTTCTAACTCAGAAATATCATCGGTCATCATATCAGTCTCTCCAACTTCCATCTGTCCTGATGATGAATGTTGATTCGGGGTTTCTTGCGTGACAAGATCGGTGTGCTCGGTCTCCGATGGTCCAGGCTTGTGCACCAGGGCGGTTTCAAGGGAGAAAGCATTGGGATTGAGAGAGTAGAAAACGAGGTCACCGCTGGCTATGCCAATGGAGTGCAATGATTCGTTTGCGGTGGAAGCAGTGATTTCGTCCTTTCGATTTAGCGAGAGATGCAGAGAAGAGGAAGGGGATGAGATGGCTCGAGATAAAGTTTCTTTGAGTTGCTGCAAAGAACATGAATCCGGAACCTCGATTTTTAGGGTTTCTTTGGACTCGAGAGATCTGTCTCTGAGCTTCATGGTTTAAGATTCCAAAGGATTACAATCGAATTGAAAAGGAACTTATCTATAAAGTACACTGAACGATTTTGTCCTTTTATTATAGCACACCATAGCCTCTGCTGCAAGTCGGTGCGCAAGCGATAGGATAACCTTCAGTTTCAATAACCAAAACCTCAAATGAAGTTAATAAATTGCGCTAAATTATACCTAAAACAAAAAAGAAATTGGAAAAAATGAATATCATTAATTTTAATATTAATCCATCACTAACATTCATCATCGTCATTCGTCAATATGAATATCAAATTATCAATTTCATAGTAAGACAATCAGAGAGCATTTTTCATCTACAATATTCTAAACAGCATGACAATATATTCCCTCTCCAACATTTTACGCAAAGGCTCAACCTTTCCACAAATAATATAATTGAGAATTTAATCCTTTAAAATGTTAAAATTTTAATAAAATTTTTTGAGATCTTTTTATTAATAAATTTTAAATTAAAAAAATAATTTTATTTTTATTGATAATATGTGATTTTTTTGTTCAATTCTTGTAATTCTTTGATGAAAAATTGTGATTCTTTAAATAAAAGTTGTGATTAAAACTTATTATTTTAAAAACTTAATTTTTAATAATAAAAATTACATTTAAAAAATTATGAACAATTCACAGAACAAAAATCATTATTTTTTAAATAAAAATTATAGTTGAAGTTTATTTTTTAACAATAAAAATTATAATTAACAAGTTATAATTTTTTTATTTAATTTTTATAATTTATATAATAAAAATTGTAATTTCTGATTTGGACATATTAATTTTAGTAAAGATAAAATTGTCTCTTTATTAAAAAAAATTATTATTAATAAAAAAATTTTTAAAAATTTTATTAAAATTATAATATTTTAAGTGATCAAATTATTATTTATATAATTTAAAAAAAAATTTAACATTTTCCCAATAATAATTGCATTGGTGCATCATATTAATGATCAAAAGGTTAAAGAAAGCCCACCCTCTCGTAATATATTGTTGGTTGCGGTTGAAAACAGGTGAGAGCTAAAGAGTAAGACTACCATTCCACTGGATGATGTAAATACATAATAATTACGTACATCTACCGAGAAACTAAATACAATTACAGAATTACAGGGAGCCATTTACATGCTAATGGCATTGAAGCCCAGTAACATGAAAGCTCTCTTATAAATGAAAGATCATTAGTTCAATTTCCCTTGTAATCACATGCCATTAGTATCCGCGCTTTTAATTCCCCAAAAAAAAAAAAAGGAACCATTTACAAATCGCCCCTGAAAAAGGGACCACTGAGGAATGAGCTGGAGAAAGTGCCTCCACCATTAGGGAAAAGCGTGAGGAAACAAATAAGAGCAAGGACAACACCCCAAGCAAATCTGCTTTCCCCCAAAGGAGATATCTCATCTTTTGCAGGTATTTCTTCTCCACCCCTCAGGAAGGTTGCAAATAACCCCCATGCCAAACACAGGACACTGCCACTCAGGCCACCAAGACCGAGCAATACCGAAGTGGCGAAGGATAGCACCGCAGCAGTGCTTCTGCCAAACATGGCTTGTGCTATTCGACCTCCTTCCAGTCTTCCACAAGGCAGTAAGTTCAGAGAAGTGACCACCATCCCTGGATATGCATGGAATTATAAATGTTAAGTTATTACATCTAGGAGGGCATTGTCCAACTAACTAATTTTCTTCACCGAGCATAAAGAATGTAAGAAGAAGAAGAAGAAGAACAAGTGTCCAGATCTGGACTCTCTCATTCGATGATGTCTAGGAAGTCCAGAACGTAGGCACATATATATATATATATATATAGGCTACGGAAGTCTAACGACTAACATGATCGGATCCTTAGCTGTGAGGAATTGCATATTGGATCATTCCTTTCAACAAGAGGAAGTCAGACATAAACAAGTCCAAAGAAGCTTACCTAGAAGCCCAGCAAAAGCAAGTGGATCAACGGGAACTCCAACACCTTCCACAGCATAGGGGAGCACATTTCCAAGATCATCCGTGTAAGGTCCAATGACAAATTGGATGAAAGAAAGTAGAGGGTTGTTATAGAAAAATTGAGGCCTTATGTACCTGTACATGAGTAAGAAGCAGAGAGTTATGATCAAGTGTTGTAATGCTTGACTTATATTGCAAAGACGAGAGAAGTCTTGACGTTGCTGTGCTTATACACCATCAAATCTTGGTTTAGACTTGTTGGATTGGATTCATCATATTTCATGAACACGTAATCTTTCATCATTCAAATTCATCAACACGCAAGTCTTTGTTAAAGCATAGAAGTTGAGGTTCCAGCACAAATTGTAATTATCAATTGAAAGACATTATCCTTGATCCTGACAAGAAACAGGCCTGCTTCATTTTTCCCTTTTTGGATGAAGAAAAAGTATCACAAAACAGTAATGCTTTTGATAAAATACTACATACAGTACTCACATAGCATTATCCCCTCCATTGAAGCTTCCATCAGCAACAAAAGCAGCAACAGCCAGCAATAATGAAGTCAGATATGCACTAGCTGTACGGGCTACCGGAATATCAAAAAGAGCCTTCTTGTTTGGCAAGAGGGACTCATAGTTGTTCATCACTCCTAAGCACCCTGTCCAATTAGATGGCACCAAGAAAGAAGGGCTGAGTTTAACACCATACCGAGCTGCTGTTACCCTGGTGGCTATCTACATGATGAGAAGAATACAACCAATGTATAAATAGCATGCCAAAGAAAATAAACAAATCTACATAATAGGATTTGATTGAATAACCTTATGTGAATGCACAATTCCATTAAATACAGAACAGAAATCAAATAGCTTTAGGCTCTTAGTGATTGTTCGAGCTATCTACAACAAAAGTAACACAGCCAAAAGAACTTACAAATGCTTTCTTAAACTCGGATGTCTCCTTCTGCGAGACAATATTAAAGACATACAAAATATTCACTGCTTTAGTTTTATACTCATTATGGGACAAAAAATCCATTCAGTTTATCCAACTCTTTTTAAGTATTCATTTAGACTAGAAAGATAAGGATAAAGCTTTGCTATCAATACTTCTGTAACATTTGTGATGTCCACTTTTAATAATTTATCTTGGAGATCGTCTAATAAGCCAATTAAAAAAAAAAAAAACTAAACGATATGAGATTGAGGAACTGCCCTTTTAGATGTCCCTTCAAAGGTGACATTGTCTATCAGTTTATAAAATAATTTGTTATGAACCTTTCCTTATTTCCTGCAAGAGAAGTTTAAATATGGATTCTCTAATAAAGAAAGAGTATGGAGCATCAAATCCTCCAAGCTTCAAGAAGTCAGAATGAGTTTACTAGTTTGAGATAAACTGTCAATCAATCAGATTCCAAGACACACGAGTTATTTACTTATTGGATGCTTACTTCTTGGGATTGAGTATAACATGTTAGAATCAGATCACAGTATGAGACTAACTATCAAGGTTGATGCAAAACATCACAAATATCTTACCTCGGATACTCCCAGAATAGTTATGAATCCACCAAATAGAGGCACAACGTCAGCTAAATAGTCATCAATCGTCGCATCAGGTTTAAGGAAGAAGCCACTCATGAGAGCAATTGTTCCAAAGGTGGTAACACATAATGCTATTGCACTAAGATAACCAAAAGGAGTGCTCAACTTAGTTGTCTCAAACTGAAGGTCCATTTCTGATTTGGGTTGGACCACGCAAGCCTGAATGCAAATGAAATTTTAGTTGTGGCATTGGTAGTCAAAAGAAAAAAAATCTTTAAAAAAGAAACTATTTGGGAAAAAAGATGAAGAAATTTAATCTTTTTTTAAAAAATGACATAAAGTCAGCATTTAATGTCAGGACATCATGCAGACAAAAAGTGGAGTGAGTGCCGCAAAATGACCACCGAACAGATCCCAGTCTTGTTCTCAAAAGATTATTCCATTGCTAGATAAGATGTGCAATATAATGTAGACAGCAAATTTTGCTTTCAGTTCATTGTGGAGTACCTGTTTTGTAATGTCATTTGCTTTCTCTTCAATGAACCATAATACCACATCTCGACCTGCCGCCTCAGATAGCTTTTCTTCCAACTTGGGAATTACCTCATCAATGGGTCTCCTCAAATTCCCAACAAATATGCCCCCATCTCCAAACCTCCGAACATCAGTTGCAAAAAATGTATCAAAACCAAAGCAGCTCTTCAACTGTCATGTCAAATGAGACACGTCTCAAACATGCTTGATCTTAAATTTGAGAAAATATGGTCTTAGCTATAATGTTCAAAAGATATAGATAGATGCCAACAAATAGATAATCTTGAAGTTGCCAACATAACAATCCAAAGATTAAAGTATATTTCCCTATTAGAGATGGATTATCGGTTTCAGAATATTTTAAAGCTTCTAAGGTTTTTTTTACATAAATACACGATTGGTCCCTTAGTATTTTGAAAATATAATATGGTCCCCCCGATTTTAATCAAGTCAATGTTGTGTTCAACATTATTTTTTTTTTGGACGAATGGTGTGTTCAACATTTAAATACAATACTTCAGTGTTTTTTTTTGTTTTTTGGTGCTCATTTTTTTTCATGAAACAATGAAAGAAAATGTTCTAGATAATCTGGTTAAGCATATTAAACTTGAGCCATTAGATTGTCATGACAATACATGACAAGGAATCAAGTGAAATGACTCTTCAGTTATGTAAAATCTCCCATCTCCAATCCATTTACCTTCTAAATTTGTGCACTTGTCATCAAGCAAACTCGTGTGGCCAAGCTATGTCCATGCATGCCAGCTAAATATAAGATCAAGACTTCTTGTCATGAAAGCACAAAAAATGAAATACTTAATGGAATTCTTTAAAATATTACACGACAAGATTGACTTAATTAGAAAGATCACATTAAAAATGCTTACAATGCAAGAGAATTAAATAATGGGTATTCGGCTATTTTTTTTTTTTAATATTTACCTGGACAGAGATGATAAATTCGGTAAATACACGACATGTAAACGCGCAATAGATAAGAAAAATCACAGATAGGATTCATAGGAAAAAAAAAGTATTGAATATAGTAAATAATCATCACCTTGTTAAGATCAAGAGCCTTGAAAGTTTCCTCTGCCTTTTCTAATCTCTCCCTTTCCCTTGTCACACTCTCACGTACCAACCTATTAAAGAGACCCAAAATAGGGTTACCATTGCTATCTCTGTCAAGCTCCTTCAGCTTCCTATCAGCCCTCTTCTTCTCTAGCTTTATCGCCGCTTCAATAGAAAGATTGCCCATAAACTTCTTGAACTCCTCGTCAGTCTTCCAATCCATTTCTTGCTGCTTCTCCCTTTCCTCAGCAGAAACCTGCTCGTTTTCCACTTCATCTTCTTTTGCCGACTGCTCGCTAACTCCTGAATCATGTTCATGACTTCCATTCCCAGGAACCACAGCAGCCGTAGTAGTAGAAGAAGCAGGAGGAGGAGAGGAATTGCTATCCTGTCCATCTTTGAGGGATGCTTTGAGACGCGTGAGTGAACTCTTTCCGGAGTTCAAAGAGTTCGCTCGAAAAATGACGTAGTTCGATGGGTTGTTCTTCCTCCTTTTGTTCCCAATTCTATGAGTCAGTGAAGATGAGTAAGAGTGGGAAACTGTAGAAAGAGTTGCCATTGGAGAAGATGAGAATTGAGAGAAGCCCGATTGGCCGCAACGAATGATGACGACTCCATAGAAAAAGTAGAGAGAAGAGAGCACAGAGGGAAAATCCAGAAGGATGGAGAACTTGGGCGATAAGGTGGGTGACAAAAGAGTGATGGTCCCACACAACCGAGCACGAATCTTAACATCCTCCACCTGGCAGTTCCACGTTGTTGTTGTTGTTGTTTTTGGGGAAAAACATCGTGTTAGGGTGGATAACGATTAGAAGCAATGGAAAGGTCCACACGCTCTAACCGAGCTACTCCAGCTTGTGATCTCACTATTTAACATCTTTCTTTTAAAGAAAATTCACTTCACCTTCCAATCACTTCTAGAATGTAAAATATTTTTCTTTATATTGCCAATTTTGTCTCATAAATATATTTTAGTAGAGGTTAATATATTCGCTGCTCTCTCTGGAACTCTTGCACGTGGTCATTTGAGGTGTGAAAAAAGAGTGCATGTCTGGTGCAACATGTTTCATCCATCATTTATCCAATGGAATATGAGCAAAAGTCATTAGGAAATACCAAGAATATATAATAAATATGGAATATGAACCAGTTTGAAATTTTTTTGACCCTCGATAAAATTCTTATAGTTGTGCGAGACACGAGTTTTGGAATTGTAGATGACTTCTGGCAGGCCTTTGACAGTGAAAAGAATACGATAGTGGGTAAAAAATAAAAAAAAAAGGAACCAGCATCAAAGTCCTGCCCATTTTTCTCATTAAAGAGATAAAGGGAGGGCTAAGAGATCTCTTGCACGTAGTTAGGGTTGTAATAAACTGATTTACTCCTAGACTGTTTTGCAAATGTTCATCATTCTTTCCTGTGTGGGGATGGACTCGGGTACTATGGTTAATTGTTCATTGATTGTTTCTGTAAGAAATGCATTTTTTTTTTTGGGGGTTTTTCCCTTGCATTCTTGATAATTCATAAAAACGTATGGCTGCCAATAATCAGTTGCTTCCTGCATTGTTTGAGTCTTGATCCTAGTTGTCTTTACATTCATTCGATTTCTGTGTTGGAACAATCGGCGATGATTAAAAAAAAAAAAAAGACTAATTCTTTTCTTATATTTTGGTGAATAGAAATTGCAATGAGGGTTGTTTGCTCTGACACTACCAGTCAGAATGCTAGTGGCATGCCTCCTTGGTAATTCTGAATCTTTGATATGTTCAATTGCATGGATGTTCATCAATTCAATGGTGGAGCTTTAACTGGTCAGGTTGTGAAAACCAAGCATTAAGATAAATATTCATTCCAAAAACGTTTTATATTTAACCCAAGAATGAAACAATAGTCTCTCTGACAATGTCATCCATGATAGCATCTCCTATCTCCCTTTGCATCTCCCAATTTTGTGTATTGGAATTCCTCCACTCTTCAGATGTGAAGAAGGATTCTGTGAGCAACAAGTGGGTGGCTGTCTTCACTTCTGCACACTGTTTCTCCATTGAGCAAAAGTGCTCATGTATTAAATTTTCAAAGTCTTCAATCTCTAAAGCGGCTCTGATTGGAAGTTGTTTACCTTCATTTTCATGAAAATTTTCAGATTTTCCTACACGGCCTGACAGTAGCTGCTTCCTTGTCTGCAGGATTATCTTCTTTCCTTGGCAAATAGTTGTCCTGACCATACGGAGTTTGGTACTTCTTACATGTCCCATTTTGGCAATGTCCAAGTTCATAAATCGCTTCGTTAAATAGGTTGAAAGCATGGGATCTCCAACAGATTCCTGGGTTAAATTGGATATAGGAGAGAGTTAATGGGGCATGTAAACTTCTCACTTGTGAAAAGAGTAAATGTGAATGTGAAATTTATTAACGCATAATGTTATGTAATCCTAGGATGTTAACATGAAATTTCTTAAAGTTGTCAATGACTTTTTTCAGAAAATTAAATAAACTCTTACCTCTACTCTTCTCACTTCAGGAAGCGTAAATGTCTGAAACATGCTCATAAAAGTTGAACCACGATGCTCGTAAGACAAAAGGTTGTCTACAACATCATGGTAAGTGAAATTTTCAGATGCTGCTAATTTTTGCTTCGAGAAAAACCCATATTTTGGCTTTTTCTGAGTGCCTGTGGTTTTCCAATGCACATATTGATCACTCTTATGCTGTCCATCCCAGTTTGAGAACTCATGGAAATCACCTGAGAGAATGAACTTGGAAAGTATTGATCTTAGGATGCCTTTAGCTTGTAACAACCTTCTTCTCACATTGTACAAATCACATTTGACTGATCTCTTCAGATTCTTCCGTGAATGAAGGCAATGCATATTCCTAGTAGTACCAGAGCTGAAGTTCTTGAACCTATAACTTTTTTCTGAGAGGCAAGTTTGCAATGAAAATGGCTCTTGTTGGTGCTGAAGATATTCTTTTAGCTGTTTTGCAGATTCTGGTTTGGAAGCATCCATCAGAGGGGCTAGAAGGATACGAAAGAGAAAAGGTTGTGTGAGATTTTGAGGATGAGACTGTGAATTGAACATGTTCGTCTTATGAATGAACAGAAGAGCGTAAGAAAGAGATTAAAGCAAAAGGGTTGGTGTGGTGGGGAAAAGACATTGATGCACAGCAGATACTATGATTGAATGAGGAAACAAAAAGCAACCTCGTAATTGATTAGTGGCTCCAACATGTTTCATATAAATGACTGATTATTGCATAAAGTTTTATTTTCTCTTTTCTAGGACATATATATTATTTTCCTCTGGATTATAGTTAATAGAATAGAACATGTACTTATGAGGTGTGATGGAGGTATTAGACTTCAAAAGTGGGCAAAGTGAATCATTTGTGAACAGATTGAAAAAGGGGACATTCCGACTCCTTTATCATTTAATTCATTGCTATCTCCTTGGCATGCAATTATTATTGGGAACAAAGAAAAATGTCTGAAGCATGCTTGGGTATGTGCAATGTGCAGCAAGCTAACGTCAACTAATGATCCAATTTAGAGTCCTTTTTATTTATGAATAGCATAAATTTCAATAAATTTTCTAACTAATTATACATTTTGAGAGTGAAAGAGAACAAGCTTATAAAATAGGGATTTGGGAAGAGAGATTAAACTCACTGAAATATGTGATAGATATCTGTAGAAGAATGGATATTTTTAGATACTGAGGTGCACACGTGAGATTTGAAGATGAATCAAAATCATTGAATAGAGCTGTTTAACGGTTCTCTTGAACGCATGCTTGGATCATCATGTTGGCCTTTGTGCTAATGTCTTTCCTACTTTCCTAACATTTGCTAATTGTTAATGAGTGCTCTTCATCATAGAAAAATGGAAGAATGATAAAGAAGTTCCAAAACAATTAATTAATTCAAGTTAGATCTCAAGTGTCAAATTTTAAAAATTTACAAACCCATCTCTAAATTTTACAATTACGTTGTAAGGAATTTGCAACTTATTTTTTAAATTTTAATATGATTGAAGAATAAAAAAAACTATTTTTTCTACTAAAATTTAAAATACAAATTACAAATTTATTACAATGAAGTTTTAAAATTTGAGTTGAAAATTCATAAAATTTGATATTTAAGACCTAATTTAAATTATTTAATTATTTTGAAATCTCTCTGTCATTTTTTCTAAAAAAATAAATAACTAGTCTTTTGCTCTTTAAAACATAAAATCGTGTATTTATGGGGAATTTGATTTGATACTTATAGAACTTGAACATCAAAACTAAACAACTAACATTAAGGATTCAAATTATTAAAATATACTTTAAAGAAAGAGCTCATTGCAAAAAACTAACTTATTGAGTGGATGAGCCTCTTAAACTTATGAATCTCATTTATCTTGCAAGACTCTCCCATACAAGATTCATGACATGGGTTAAATGCATTTAAATGGAGAGGGAATAGTAGGTTTTACTCTTTGATAATGCAAGTCCTATAAAAATGTAATATATCTCTTTATCTATTTCTACACATTAAAATAGGGGCAGGAAGGGGGATTCTAAATTGCAATATAAGTATACGATTATTAGTTTATTGCTATTGATACAAAGGTGTCATACAGAATCTTGTTGTAAGAAGAAAACTTGGTGACTTTTATTTATTTGTTTGATGGAGAAGACTTGAGATGTTTTCAGTTACACAGTACACACCAAAGCTTAGGGATAACATGGTTTTGTTCTAGTTTTATTTGATGGGGCCAGGTCCAATCAATTTAAAAGGGCCAAAGGTCTAAGAAGGGCTTCACCTTAAATATATTTCACAGATTATAATAGAAAAGGGGATAAGATCTTGTGGTAGCAGTTAGCACTCTCCTAAGTCTTAAGTATGATTGTTAAATCCAACAAAAAATAATAAATTATACAAAATTTTCTTAAACTTTGATTTATGTATAAATTATAAAATAAGATTTTTTTAAAAAATTTTAAAACTTGATAAAAATCCACCTTAAACTTTTAAATTTATACAGATAGCTTCCTGCCATTAACTTGACCATATATGTATCCTAAAACTTTTGTTTTGGTTTATATCCTTCTTTAAGTTGTGTGCCAATATCTTCATATATGGGAAATAATTTCTTTGTCATGTGGCAATTTTATGGGGAATACTCACTCTTTTACTCACTGGCTACTGCTCATGCTGAAGACTGTTGATTACAAAATTATTCCTTATCCTTGTATGACTTAAATTAGCCAAAAAATTCCTCGAGTGACAAAAATTGTTTTTTAATAATTTACTTAAATTCATTTAACAAATTAATTAAAATCATTTACATCCATATATTTAAAAAAAATCAAATGGTCATTTATAAATGTATTAAAAAAACATAGTAATGAATACTTTAAAAAAACAGGGCCAGACACAAATTAGGTAATGAATCAATAAACACACACACACACACACACATCCCTTTTTAGGGACCACATATGGATAAGAAAACTCCACAATTTGATGCCGTATAGGATATGGTACACGAGTACATCAACAGTTGAACTCATACATACGCAAGTGTTATGAGGTGCATGCTCTTCGTCACTTTCCTGCCACACACATTCACACACATCACAGGTATGAGAAATGGAGAGAATGACAGTTATATTTAAGATGAAATTTTCGATAGAAATTTTTAAAAAGTAAACTGCAAATATTAATTTAAATTTAAATATTTATAAATTCAAGAGTTATACATTTAAATTATAAAATTAATTATCAATGTATAATTATGATTCTTGTTTGGAGTAATATTGGCAACACAATTTTTAATTTTTTTTGTCATTAATTACTTTATTATTGCGATTTGTCTCTGTACATATATAAGGTCAAGATTTCATGCTTAATTACCAAGCTCTCTCTCTCTCTCTCTAACATGAAATGTTGTTTTACTAATTGTTACAATTAAAAGACTGTTATTAAATAATAGTATATATTAGTAGCACTCACTGCAAATGATAACGATTTAATTTGGAGACCTATGAAGCCCTTGTGAGTTCTACATTTCACCGTTGATAATAATTGCTAACCTGTTAAAACATGTTTTTTGGTTGCAATGTCTTAGGATGAGCACATAATATACTATACTATCTGACGAAGTTATGGGTAATTGTAATTAATTAATGAAGTCTGAAAATGCAGAGTTGAAGCACATATTATTTATGCAAGAAGGTGAAGAGATGGGAGTCGAGCAGTACTGTATCCTGTTTTAATTACTCCTTCTATCCTTATATATAAAATATTTTTAATTATAAATTAATAAAAATTAATTATTTAATTAAAAAAACAACAACATTTTAATTTTATTTTTAATTATTATAAATAAAAAATAATTTTTTAAATAAATTAATGAGAATACTTATCTTATTTTCTTTTTAATTTAATAAGAATATAATAATTTATTTATTAAAAAATATACTAACAATTTTTATATTTAAAATTATTTTTTTTAAAAAATATTTTATATAAAAAGGAAAAAATATATCTACAGAATTCTGATACGGACTGAGCATACGCCGCCCTCAATGTGTTGACAAGCAACAAACCTCAACTAAATTCATTAATATTACGTATATGTGAATGTCAGAGAATTATATTAGACTTGACAGCCAGAATTATATTGGACTTGGCAGCCACTCCATTCAATCAATGCGTCCGAAAACATGTGTTCATTATTTGTTGCCTGCAGATATTATGTGGCCTCCAGAAGCTGCTGCTATACAAGCTATTGAACCCACACCACATAACTGATCACCTAATAAACACCAATAAAAAATTACTAAAACTTATTTCTATTTTTTTAAAAATTTTAATCCCTGCATTTTTCAATTTTCTTTTTGCAACAATGCGTTTTCTTTGCCGCTTGAGAATCTGAATCCTCAAATATTAGAGTTTCTCCTTTATAACGTTTGTGTTCACCTTATTTTATATACATCAGATAAAGAAAATATATAGTGCAGAGTGCTTTTATTTTGCATAAACTCCATATGGACTTAATCCGAATTATATATTCTTATAAGCAAATTCAACTATACAGGATTCAAACATATTTAGTACCGTGCAAAGAGAACTAGAAAAGAATTGAAGGGGGATCGAAAAAATTATTATATAATTATATATTTGCATATATCTTCATAATTTCGGTGTAACAATATTTATTTATTTCTATTTAAAGACAAAAATATTATTTTTGGATATTTTATTTAATTTCCTTATAATTTTCTTTTTTATTTCATTGTGCCAAATCTATTAGACAAGGAACATGGCAGTGTATCTTGAAGAAACTAAATTGTAGACTTTTGTTTTGTGTTGAGTCTAAAATAAGTCATACTAGGCATGGCTTACAAATAGTACGATTTTATATAACTGTTATATTATGCATAAATAATAATATATTTATAGTATTTCTCCCACTATTTCATTAATTTTTTCCTCAAAATTGTTTTATAAATTATAAACAAAACTTGGTAGGGAAAAATCTATAAATTATAGTATAGTTTTACCTGTGATAACGAAAACTTAAAAGAACAAAGTTCCTCTCCACTCCTTTTTACTTTCAACACGCTGTGCTGTGTCTATATATATATATATATATATATATGTATATATGTAAGTTGCGATTTCAGAGTCCCATTATCGCTGGTATCTGTATCTGATATATTGCGTGTTCAGAACTTTCTCAATCAGCGCCATTGTAGAAAACTAAGAATGAAAATGTCGTCCAAGGTCAGAACCTGTATTTGCATGTCTTTCTTCCTCCTCCTTGTCTTCTTCTTCTTCTTCAGCATAACAGCAGCGAGACCAGTCCCTTCTTCTTCTTCCCTCGCTGTCCCAAACAAAACTCCACATAATAAGGTCAGCTTCTTTTTACTAGTTTCATTGTATGTTCTCACCATATCATATTATGTATTACCTTTAAATTACCATATCGTTAAAATCTCTGCTGTCTCTACTTCCTTGATGGTTTTGAAGGTTACTTTGGAAGCGGAGAAAGTGAAGGAGGAGGAAGAAAGTTGTGAAGGGGTTGAAGAAGAAGGATGCTTGATGAGAAGGACACTTGCAGCTCACTTGGATTACATCTACACACAAAAGCATAAGCCATGAGAGATCCTTATATATATATATATATATATATATAGACACACACAATTACTGCCTCTCCCATGTTGAACTGTTGTCAATTTTACGTACGAGCTAGCTAATAGCTTCCGTACGTATGCCACTTTTGAGTTCAGTTTTCTGTTTTCACTGCTTTTCAGTTTTTTG